GGCAGCCGGCCACCGTCTCTGGGCCCAGGCTTGGGGAGAATACAGACAGACGGAGACAAGGAAATCAGAACTGAAAATTGTACTTCTAAGAAGGCTGCAACTTCCCAAATCAGCTGACATCACCCCAGGCATCCACGACCGCCTTCCCTTAGTTACATTTCAGCTCCCGCTTCCTGACCAGCAGACCCCAAGCTCCCCGGAATACTGAAAGTCCAGACATTGGCTTCATCGACAAAGCAAAGCGCAGGAACCCGACCCTAAGATAAAGGGACAGGCTGAGAGCGTCCAGAGAATGTTTAAATCACCTCTCCTAATAAGTGAACAGAACCGACCCATCCTGCAGCAGGCCAGCGCCCGTCTGCGGCGGGGCCACTTTTTCCCGGGGTTTCCACCCCTCCAGAGAAGCTGAGTGATCCCATTTCTGGAAAATAAGCGTCTCTCTCCCTCTCCCTCTCTCTCTCTCTCTCTCTCTCCCTCCCTCCCTCCCCCTCCCTCTCAGTCCTGTTCTCTATTTCTTTGAATGTGAACCTTTTAATTTTTGCCTAGTAAACCCTTCCCATGCCTCCTACTGGTGCATCCTGGAAATTCCTTTTCCGCAGCGAGAGTGAACGAACCTGTGCAGGGTGGGTCAGGTTCCTTATCCCAGCCTCGGGGGCTCCTAGGACCCTGTCTGCTGACAGTTTCCTTGGGCCAGAGCCTCATCCATCTCTCCATAATCACTTTTCTTTGGGGAAAACATCAGAAAGACCCCTGCAGAGTAGCCTACATGGAGTCCAGCAGCGTCTTTCCCCTAGATAAGCTCATAGTTTATTTTTATAAACAGCAGACAGGTAAGCAGGGAGAGATACCATTTAGAACTATGGATCAAAATTTTCTTTCTTTTTTTTTTTTTCCTGGTCTTTTTTTTTGTGACAGGGTCTCGCTATGCAGTTCAGGCTGGCCTTGAGCTCACTTTGTACCCCAGGCTGGTCTCGAACTTGCAAGGATCCGCCTGCCTCAGTCTCCTGAGTGCTAGGATTATAGGCATGTGCTGCCACACCCAGCCAATTATTTTCTTTAAAAACATGTACCAAAATGCCCTTTACTAGAAATAGTATTGGTTATCTCTATCAGATGACTTCTTTCATTCTTATTTATCTTTATTTTCAGAAATCTTCTTTCAGTGTGTATTTATTATTTTTGAAATAAGGACAAAAGAAGCATCTACCAGAGCAGCACAGTGAGATTCAAGGAAACAATGAAGTTTTCTGGAAGAATCAAAGAAAACCTTGAGACATGGGCCTCTCCCGTATTACATTCCACCAAACACCACGCAGGGCTTTGTTTGGATCCTGGCCCACACACACCAGCTGTAAAAATATTTATAATGTGCTAATATTGTTTGGACAATTAAATGCTGATAAAAAATACTTAGAAGCAAAGAAACTGAACCTCTTTCTGGATGCTGATGATACCAAAGCCAGTATTATTTTTAGGAGATAGGCTGATAGTATTTACAGTAATGTCAGGAAAAAAATTCTTATCTTTTAAACAGACTGACATCTTTATGGCTGACATGACATGAAACCTGGGAATTTTATGGGTAAATAATTCATTGGAGTATGAGTGGCTGGGGACATCAGATCAAAAGAACGACCACGGGTTAATGCTTACTGAAGCTGGGGACTGATTTGTGCCTGATCATTTGAAGATTTTCTCTACTTTTTGTTTGAAACTTTCTATCATATAATATAGTAATGCAATCATAACTGATGTACTATTTTTTTCTACAATAAGCCAAAAACCTCCTTTCAGTGTCTCTAGGGTTGAGACCGGCTCAGCGGGCACCCTGCCTGCAGTCGAGAGCGTGTGACAGCCGACAGTGCATTGGGGGTGGATGCCACTATAATTTTGACATAATTTTTCAAAACATTATTCAATTTTTATAGTGTACGTACACACATGAATAAAGTATTTTAACTTTTTAATATGAATAAAAGGGCTATTTTCGCTTGGAAACCCCTCCTGACCATTAATGCCGTTACTTGGATGCCACTGGAGATCTCCATGTGCACAAGGGACCCACAACACGTCCTGGGCATAATTTGGTCCCGGTCTTGTTGCTTTCCTTGTCACTGAGACACAATACTGACACCACAACCTAAAAGAGCAGAGGTGGATTTTGGCTCATGTTTCAGCCCATAATCACCTGGCTGCAAGACAGGACAGCCCAGCCGAGGGCCTGGTGTGACCTGGTGCTCACACCATGGTGTCCAGGAAGCACAGAGAGACCCAGGGAGGAGCTGGAGAGAGAGATACACGGGTCCAGGCCAGGGCCCCAGGGGCCTCCTCTTCGGACCAGACCCTACATCCTAACGGCAAGTCAGCTATAGCGCCCACGGTCAATCACCTCCCCAAAGCCCTGCCTACCGCATAGGAGGCTTTAGGAGGACGTCTAGACCCAAACTGTAACGCTTGCATTGAAATGAGGCCAGGGTGCTGCATACGAAACCTATTAAGTAAGTAGCTGCTGATGTGATAGTCGGTCTTTTCTCTCTAGTAGATTATTAGGCCAGCAGTGATCACAGTCTTACTCGTCTTTGTAAACTCAGCAACTATTGAACACCTGGCACGTTTCAAGTACTAAAAAAAATCTGTTAAATGAATGAAAGGATAAATGAAATTTAGGGTTCCTCCACCCACAGACCTAGGCAAGTCCAGTGAGGCCATCTACAAGCCACCGGGACGTGGATTAATTTCTCGTTATAGCTTACACAGGGCTCCACAGTTCCTGTGAGCAGAAACATACAGTAACGTTTCCAGATTGGGTGTGCACTTAACCCATGCCGAGAACTGTGAACTTCTTCCACGGGAGCCATCACGGCCCGCAGGTCTTCCCTGACCTCCAGCCCCTCGAGTCTCACGCAACGGTAAACACAGAGAGAGGGCGGCGAGGCAGGGGACAAAGGACACAGTGAGCCGCAGGGGTCAGGTCAGTGACTCGCGACGCTTGAGTCAGCGAAAGGCTGCTGCACATAACACCAGATATTTCTTTCTCCAGCATCACGAAACAAAAGGGTAAAAAATTCCCCCAAAGTCATGACTTTTTAAGGCTGCATCACAGTACTATCTTCGAAATGAGTGGAAACAAGTTCCCACCCGATTCCCACAAGGATGACGTGAGGTAAACAGATCCTGCCACCTGGGTTACGGAGGAAGGAAGGAGATGCACGCTTCACCCAGAGATCTTAATGTTTTTATTTTTATGATCCATGTGTGCGGTACACGACGACTGCACTCACCGCGGGGAGTTGGCAAACGGCCGGACACAGCTCCGCTCCTTTTTTGTCTTCTTCCTCCCCTGCCCTCCATCTCTTGGTTCCCTTCCCATTTGCAAAAGATCCATCTTCCAAACAGGATTTTAAAATATGACCTAGGGGCTGGGGATTTAGCTCAGCGGCAAAGTGCCTGCCTGGCAAGCGCAAGGTCGTGAGTTCGATTCCTGGTACCAAAAGAAAAACAAAAAACAAAAACAAAAACAAAAACAAAAACAGATAAAATATGACCTAGTTTTCAAGAATGCAATATACTAGAATCATACTGTGTTATCAGTGTGCAAAAGGACCTATTTGTAAAGGGTAGACTTAGAAGTACTCTGTAAACCCCACAAGTAAGTATAATTATGCATCTTTTTTTTTTTTTTTTTTGATAGCAGGAATGGAATCAGGACCTTGCACTTGCCAAGCAAGGCACTGTGCCGCTGAGGTGTATCCCCGGACCTTACAGATTCATTTTTAAAAATTCACTTTTTTTTGGTTTGTTTTTTTTTCCCAGTACCGGGAATCGAACTCACAACCTCGTCCTTGCCAGGCAAGCACTGCGCCGCTGAGCTAAACCCCCAGCCCCCAAAATTCTCCTTTTAATAGTCACACAGCAGACAACGCATTTCAGATTCGTAAGGGAAGTATTCGAGTGACCTCCACACTAAAAGCCTCAGAAGGATCAGAAGGATCGAAGGAGAGGTGTTTGTCAGCTTGGTTGTTTGTTTGTTTTTAGGTACTTGAATACTAACTGGCTCCTTGAAAAGCAGGGTGCAGAAATCAAAGGCCTGATTGTGCAGCGTCCCTCCCTTGGGTCTTTTATTCAGCCTGGTTCCCAGCAAGCCGCAGTTCGGAGGAAAAGGTCCAAGTTTTGCTTAAAAAACCAGAGACTGAAGGGCTCACTCAGCACGCTGCTCACACGGGGTTGCTGTGGCCACCACCTCAAAGCCTCTGGCGAGCTGCTGCAGCGGGGACTTAGACTGGCAACAGCCGCAGGACACAGGAGCCCCGCCTGCCCCGCTGCGGGCAGTGCCCTGCAGGGCGTCCCGCTGCGCAGGGCTGGCGCTCTCCCTGAAGGGCGCCGGGACCCGGGGAAGAACGTACTGTGCGCCCCTCCTCCCCCGCCGGGGCACGGAAAGTGAAACTGGCCCCTGCTCCGCGTCTGCGGGCGCCCTTCCCGGCCCTGGGGACCACGCATGATCCCCGCTCCGTTTTCAGATCTAGCAGCGCGGGGGCGCGCCGCGGCGGTCTCTCGGAAAGGCTGCTCCTCGCATTTCGGGGTTCAGAGGCAGCCAGCCGCCGCGACGCAGAGCGCCGTCCCCGCGGCCTTGGTTATCTCTATCAGATGACTTCTTTCATTCTTATTTATCTTTATTTTCAGAAATCTTCTTTCAGCGTGTATTTATTATTTTTGAAATAAGGACAAAAGAAGCATCTACCAGAGCAGCACAGTGAGATTCAAGGAAACAATGAAGTTTTCTGGAAGAATCA